TTCTGTTTGTTCCAAATAGGGAAGTATTTTTGAAAAGCGGAGACACGGCCACCGGGAGGGTTGTGTAGCAAACGTGCGTACAAAGGGATCTCGGTGAGTTGCATTGGAAGCGGAAAATGTTAGGTGATCAGAGATTTTCCTAGACTACATGAAGAACAAATTACTTTGAAGCCATTTTCGATTGCATTTTACACAGCCCATTTTGTAGTGGGCCGTTTGGCGCTCGTCGTGCTTGTGGACCGGACCCTCTTTGTTGCTTGAGCATTCACGCAGTTTCTCGTGAACTTGTGATGTATCCTTTACGACACGGCTCCTCCGTCATCGACCGACTCGATTTTCTGGACCCTGCAATGAGCTGCGCCGTCAGACTGAGGAAAATCTTCGTTCTGCTCCGAGATTTGCAAATCCTTCAAAGCAGTTCAATATCGTTCACCAATCTAGCAACTCTTTCATTATTAGCACGCCAAGCAATAGCTTTATTCTATACTATTACCTATCTCAAAAACGATTCCTTGTTGTTGCAATGAAAACTCTAATTACACACCTCCATGCGCGTTGCAATGATTTAAAGGTCAGCGAGGGTCACTTCGATGGAATTTTGACAACGTTTTTCTCAATCCTCACAAAGTGCACACGGCTAAGTACGGTGCCTTCAAAGATACCAACCTCTCCCGCCACGACAGTAGTTGAGTATCTGTGATAAGCTTCCTTCTTCTACGATCCCGTGTAGAAGGAGCTTTCTTTCACTACGTGCACCATTTTCGAGCTTTATTTCTCCAGTTCCAAACCTGACGGGCTAAACTTGCGCAGTGCGTTTTAGGTGCATTCTTTCTATAAGCAGTCACCATATCAACAGCCGACTCTGGCCGCTCTACAAGATGACACCCAACTTGCTTGAATAGTGCAAAGGAAATCACAAAAATGCAGGGAACTACTCGAGGTGCAGAACGGCAGACACTTTTTAGCCTACTTAATACTTTCATTTTCGGACAAAATAATCCCACCCCTATCGAATTGGAATTAAGGTGCTCTGTGTCTAATTTTAGTTCAATCAGGCCAAATGCTGCAGTGCATCCTTTTGCTTTGCTTTTGTATGGTTGCAGTAATACAACCTCCCGATGATACCGTACGTCTTCTCAATCAGGAAGGGAGTAAAGGGTGAAAGGAGCCAAGCAGCTATCCGCTGCTTGCAGTGCGAACGTTTTCATGAGTTACAGAAGTAAATGCATGCAGATTTGCCATACAGAAAGGCTCAAAATGGTGAAAATTAAGATCCTGGAGTCGGCAGGACTAAACGAAAGAGATCGCAAAAAAGTGCTCGAGATGGTCATGGAGGTCAGCGGTGCTCGAGAGACTGTCGAAAACGCGATGAAGGTATGGAAGAATTAGAATGAGTTTTGTGTGTTTTTTTATTGTAGAGACACCTGAACATCACCACAGGATCCCATACGTGGAACAAGCAAAAAAGTTTACAAGGAAAGGGGGAGTGAAACAAAGTTGTTTGATTACAATTTCGTACATTCCCTCAGACGAAGTCCTAATCCTTCCTCTGTTCTCTTTAGATGTTAGGAAAAAAGGAATACAATACACTGGTAAAGGAAGAAAATATTGGGCTCCGGAAAGTCTCCGCCACGTTTGTGCACAATTGGAATGCGTGGCCTCAATCGCTTTTACGTGATCTGCTACCTACTACAGGGTGGGGCAAAATTACTGGTGCACTAAATTTTCAATGGCATTTTGACAATAATTCTCACAAATCAATTCTAATTATCAATATTATTTACTACAAACATGACAATACAAAAAATGTTAATGCTTCTCAAAATGATCTCCTTTAGCCTTCACACAGTCCTTCAGACGTTCGACAAATGCTTCGCAATGTGCACGCAGGTACTGGTCATCGATTTCGTCCCAAGATGTTGAAATCCGCCCGCACTAACAATTCCAATTGGATGTCTGGAATAGAACACTCTTCGGGCTCTCCAATGGACCATCACAGTTAGTAATAACATCGGGTCTAGCAGGAAGGGGAGACCATGCTCCGTGTCCTCATGAAGTTTCGCATGGTCACACCACTCCAGCACATATTATTGCGCTTTGTGTGCTGGAGCAGAATCCTGCTGGAAGCACCAGTAGGCTTCTCCGAAATGGGAGTTGGCCCACGGCTTGAGAACTTCCTCCAGGATATTTTTGTAAACCTCTGCGTTGATTTTTACACCAGCTTCAACGAAAACAAGTGGGGTCTTCCCGTAGAGGTGACTCCTCCCCAAACAAGAATGGACTGGGGGTGTTTCGCTCTTTCCTGGAGTCTTGCCTTGGTGGTAGCATCAGCAAGTGATCCTGCAATAATCCTCTCATTCTTGGACTGAGGCTGGATTCAGAGTAAAAATCTTTTCATCACTGAAAACGATGTCTCGGGCGCGTGCCACCGTGAATCGCTGCAGCAACTTCTTGCATCTCTCAAATCTCTTTTCTTCATAATGTCCGTCAGGAGTTGGCATTTCTGCAAGCGATAGGGGAACTTCCTTAGCTTACTTCTGACAATCCTCCTCATTGACCTCGCGCTTACTCCAACGTCTTTCGCCATCTGGCGCATCGATCTCCTGGCGTTCCTTCGAATTCTTTCTCTGACGAGCCTCACATTTCTCCGACTCGTAGCTGTTGTGGGACGTCCTCTTCCTTCCCTGTCCTCTTCGGTCTTCAGTTCTTTATAGCGTCGTACTGTATCTACCTCCTCAGATTAAGAAAGATATTATATTTTTTTGCGCCCATTGTAAGTTTGATGATCGGTACTACCGCCCACTTACGTAGGAATTACGAACTCAAACGCAACATCACAGAGGAGTGAAACAGGAAATTCCAGAAGTGTTAAAAAATCAAAAAGTGTAGGCGCCAGTAATTGCCCCTCCCTGTACATACCATTATGAAGCAAGTTTATCGCTCTATCTAACTGTAGTTCCAGATTTGTTCAGAAATGAATGTTGCCGCTTTCCTAAAGTCTTGACCCCTGCAAAAGGCGATTCCGCAGCACTTTATTATTTCAACCATAAATAGCCGAAGAGAGGCGCGAAACGTCGCAATATCAGCTATGTGTTTGGTCTAAGATTCACAAAACAGCGCTGTGCAGCAATGGTTCAGATAGCTTTTCCAGAAATTGCGAGAGCCTCGAAGATGAAGAGGGTAGAGGTTGGATATCGGACATGAATAAAAATTAATTAAGGATTTTGACTAAACTAATCTGCACAGAACTGTAGACTAGTCTTAATACAAATTAGATATAACCTTCCTGTGATTTTAAAATGAATGCAGAAGGCTAAAAATTTTGAAAAGTCGACAAGCGTGTAGCGCTGAGAGTCCCTGGTTTCCAACACTCATCCGCTCTCCTTCTACCCTCTTCTACTCAATGAAAACGACCCTTTTCTTGATTGAATTGTAACGTGCAACACAGAAAAGATTCGCGGCAATAATCGACGAGCCTCCTCTAAAACTTTGATCGAGATTAGGGTCAGCAGGTTTCTAGAAGGTGGAAATGCACGAGGGCAAAGTTGTGAACACTTTCACGAGGATTGTGGCAGGTGCGGCTCTTCAAGCCCAGACGGAAATGTTGCAGAGGACTCTACTTTCAACAAGGTGTCAAATACACCGAAATTCAATGAGTGCGCCCAATAAGAATTATCATAAAGGGAGCGACTCCTCCCGCGATGTGCCTTAAACCCACACCACAGCGCAAACCCTGCAAAAATTGAACATGATGGGCTACTGAAGTGCGTTGCTAACAGCTTACTCACCAAACCTTTTGCATACCGCCGCACTTTTCCTACGTCTGGATAGCTTCTCCGAAGAGAAATGCTCGAAGTTCAGCATGATGCTAAAATGGCCTTCGCCGGATTTATCGCTTACAGAATTCCAGCGCTTCCAACAACTAGTGTTTTAACACCTATCTTGAAGAGAAGTGTATGGGGATTATAACAGCTTTTATTGCGATTTAAAGCATTATGTTCAAACCGAGATATGCGCATTTGGATTCAGTCTCAAAATTGGCGAAATCTTTCCGGACGTCATCTCATTTTTTCGTGTTTGGAAGCAGCGATGAATATCTGTCGTGGATTTTGCTAAAGTTTCATCTTTGATGACTTACGTAGAAATAAATATTGATGGTAAACACTGTCTCTACACAAGTGTCACATACAAGGGGGGTCGTATCAAATCACCCATGAAGGGGGGGGTCGTAAAAAATTTCCAAAGAGTAACAACGATAGGGTTGACCCTGCCTGGAGGATTTCTCAACGCACTCTTGGCCGTTCGGGGCAGCTTCTCATGCTATCTTCTTCATCCCTACCTTTGCTCTTTTTCCAATAAGCTACCTTTTCATCGCAAAATCCCCTTCAAATATGCATTTCGCTGTGTTGTAATTTGTTTTGTTTCGTCTAAACTAGAGGTTGAAAATCTGCATTACTTCGTGAACAACTAATGGATATGGTGGGACATGAGCTCTGAGGTTTAGCTTGACCGCTTGAGACAGGAAGAGATGCCGGTACATGGCTAGGCTTTTAGTGATAGTTCTTTCGAGCGCTCTCCTCCATTTTCCAGGTACTACACCATTTAAATTCGTTCGGACTCGGAGAGAAAGTTCTGGCAGTAAGCGAGCAGGTAAATGATTCTCTGCTTTTGGATGCTCAATTTTACTCCAGGAGGTCTTGATCTAGTTTCTGCTAAGGTCGGGGAAAGTTTCGAACGGTTGCGCCTTTCAATGTCAGGGAGGCAGAAGGACGAATTGAACAAGAGAGGATACACATTCATGGAGCAAACACAAATGCAAAAACTTCACGAGGAGCAAAGTCATGTTTTACCATACTTTGATGGATAACTTTGAAAGTACAGTTCCACAATTATATGAGTAATTAGATCGCATTGCAGATTTACATGAACCTGAAATCAAATCGATGGTTTCGGAATACGGAGCGCTGAGCAAAGAGCAACGTGAAGATGCGCTGTGGGAAGCAATCGCAAAAATCGCTGGCTTGGACAAAGTGGGTGCTTCAAACGTAAACATAGGTCCAACTGATATAGGGAGTTTCTTATGTTGTGTACGGGATTGTAGAACGGAGTTTTCTGTAGCAGATATCCAATGAGTTGAAGGAGTTTTTGAGGTCGGCTTGTAAGGGATTACTGTGATTCTACCCAAACATAATAGCCCTCGAATCAGAGATAAATATTTCAGCGTCGACACAAGCGGCAGTTCAAAACACTTTCCGTTTTGGCTCCAACCGTTCTCAGCCCATATCAGTTCGCTCCAGTGTACGGATTAGCGTCCTAGGGCCCGTTGTTCTTTCTCCGAACATTTTTTCACCACTCGTTCTCAATCCGTCCGTTCTTGGACCATGGGTTATGTCTCCGGCCATTCCGTTGCCCTTTGTGATTTCGCCATATCTTCTTTCTCCGTATGTTCTGTCACCTCTTGCATTGGCACCCTTTGTTTTCTCACGTATGTCCTTTCACCAAACGTTTTAAATCCGTATTTGCTTTCTCCTGTTGTCCTAAGCCCCGTCGTAATCTGTCCAGATGTGATATCTCCAATGGCACTTGGAGGAGTTGTTCTTTCCCCATCTGTACTTTCGCCGGCTGTGCTTTCAAAGAGTTATCTCATGGTCAACGTATTATCGCCGTCCTTCTTATCCTAGTCGACAACAAGGGTTAAAAAATTAATAATTCTGTGTTACATCGCTGGCGGTAGTTGCCTCACTTTGCTCAAATGCGGGGACCTGTTTCTCGAACTTCTGTGTTGCCATGAACTTGTGCTGTGCTGCTCATTCAACTTAATCTTGAAGTGACAGTGTACTTGCTGTGTTTTTTTTACTCGGCATAAATGCTTGTATCAGTCTGCCAATAATGAAAACGTGTTCTTCGCCGGATTCTGTCTGGAGTGATCGACAACAGTCGGAAGCATTTAAGAACGCACATCTGGAAAGAATCGTATGTTATCAAATTGCTCTACGCTCCTATCTTCATTGACATAATGAAAAATGTGCCATAAAACTCAAAGTTTTCACTTTCAAAAAGTTATAAACAAGGAACGAGAAGATACGCGGAGACACCATAGTAAAACAGCTAGCAGAATAGCAATAACAAGCCAAATCACCAGCTAGATAAACCAAAATGAAAGGCTCTCGCATTTACTAATTTACAGGAACATGAATAGAGCAAAACCCCGGGGTTACCTGATCAAATAAGACCGCGAAATTGTTGCAGTGGTTACTGGGAGGGTACAAGCATGTGCCCACTCTGGTGATTACTGAATAGCTTCTGAGCTGAAGGCCAATGCAGCATGCCTCAACCCACCGCCATCTATCGCCGAACTCCAACACCTCAAGGTATTCACATTGCCTGCTAGTACTCGGATAGAGCTCACTTCTTCAGGCTCAGTCCAAGGTTCCTTCATTTCACTTCATGGCGTCGCACTTCCGCACCTCCCCACCCTTTCACTTTAAAGCGCAACAATCACAACGGTTATAATTCCAAAACTTTGCCATTTGCCAATAAATAACATGAGCCGACTTCAGAGGACATAAAACCCACAATACCTTGACAATGGATGTATAACCAAAAATAAACACGAAAAATCGAAAGCGTGGCGTATTCCGGAGTGCATTCTCGGATAGCTTCGATATATTTCAGTATGCTTTTGTTTAGCACCTCCATCACCTGTATCACCTGTCGTCCCGTTGATCATCGAATTGCTCGAGCGGGCGCCAGCAACGTCTCCATTCGTCCCTGTCGCGTGCAAGAGTTGTCCAGTGGACCCTCCTCGCTCGAGGGACACGATGTCTCATTTCCTTTCGTTCAGAGCTTTCGTGAAGAAGTCTGACCATCGGGCCGGCGGTCGTCCAGGTGTTCGTTTGGACTCTGCGCAGGCAGGACGAGCATGCGGTCAGCGTTATCCAACGCGCTGTCGAGAGGACGATGCTAGGAGTAACCCTATACACGCAAGTGCAGAGGGGAATCCGGAGTTCGGAACTACGCCAACGATCGAAGATCAGGGACGCTGCCGTTTTCGCCAAGGAATCGAAGATAAGGTGGGCCGGACACGTCATGCGATTTTGCGATGACCGTTGGACCAGAGCGGTTACCGACTGGATCCCTCGGGACGTCAAACGAACACCTAGGACCTCCATGGGAGTTCTTAAATAAGAGAATTCACATCGTTTAAAGGCAAAATTTCGGGGATTTCTGGCGAAATTTAGGTTTTCCCCGTCAAATATGGAGCAGTACGCAAGGGCAGACCATGTGCAGAAGTGGCGGGGCGTTTTGATAAGGTTTAGGCGCTAGGGGCCTAGGTTGGAGCATTGGCGCCGCCCCAAGCCCATTGAGCCCGCCCACCGTCCTACGTGATCTTCCAAACAACCACCTGGAACGCTAGATGTTAAGCCGTTGTTTGGAAAGTCGTAGGGGAGTATTTAGCGGATTTCAATTGCGAAAATCGACATCAAAGCCTATCTTACGACCATTTTGAGAACGTTGTCATCATTCTAGTGAGAAGAAAAAATTTTAAGATAGGAAGCAAACAAAAAAGCACAGGAAAAATAGAAAAAATAGGGAAACTAGAAAAAATCAGTTTTCATTGCTGACTTTTTGTGCCGTGTCGGTTGATGGCACAAAGCCAACAGTTGCTGTAGACATGTCCAAACACGTAATTTTCCCAGCCCTGGTTCGTAAGCGACTAACGAAGAGGAATTTCTAATTTTGGTTCTTTGGAGGTATTTCCTGCTTTTTTCATTACCTTCGATCAACTTAGCATCCAGCTCTTCACACTCGAACAGGTGAGTCCCTCGTTTTATCCCGGAGTTTGCCTTTAAGGGGAAATTTGCGTACGACTGCTTGAGCATGGAATCGGTGTCCCTAATCATGGTCCTGCTAATAGTGTGCAAAAGTTTATTACTCGAAGCAGCCACAGGAGAATATGTGGTCAGCATGTTTAAAAAACATAATATTAGGTACCGGATATCTTAGTGTCGCTTTTCTGAGTTCAGGAAGTTTTGGGGCCGATTACTATGGAAAATCAATATCTCAGAAAGTCCTTTTTGCTCATTAATACTGCGAAATATGTTGCTTATTGTTTTCTATTGTTGGTTCACAATTTAACTTTCCCCCAATTTTTATACTTTTTTTTGAAAATTCCTGGGTCCAGTGTGCAAATTCGCATGTGTGTACCAAATGCTTCAAAATTCTTGCTGAGAGCTACAACTTCCGCCCACCAAACCAACATTGCATTTGTTGGAGGGAATACTACCATTTAAAATGCTCATCGGTTTTTCACAGTTTTCTCAAAAGACAGTGAAGTCTTTGAAGTGATGCCCGCAATCGTCGTCAAAAAGGTGGCCCTAGTTAAATCAGTCGAGACGGGGCTGCACCAGTCTTGTGCTGAAATGGTAGGACACCTTAGCAGTGACTGATCGATGATGCACAAACGCTTTAACGAAGTTGATTGCACAAGAAATTCTAATAAATGTGCTCATCTGCTACTCACGTGTGCTCAAAAAGGGTGCGTTTTTGACCCTATGTGGCAAAAAAGACTCCGGGAAAAATTGTCCAGTTGAGCTGGTAAGTTTAACTTTTCCACCATACAGTGCAGACCCTACTCTAACTAACTGTATACTTCTTTTGTCCAGGCCTAACTTTTTAGCAAGTGAGAGGGATGATTTGTCAGATGATGTCAAAACCGACCTACCTCTCTTTTTCGACTCAAAAAATTCCTAGCTTTAATCGTACGAGGTTTCCACTCATACTGGTAAATGGGAAAGTGCTAATGAGTCATTCGATGAATATGCTGTTTCACTCCCCGGATTCTGAATTAAAATATTGGTGGTCCGAAACTCGTGGTGAAAAAACGACACTAAGATATCCGGTACCTAATAGAAAACTTTCATGTTTCGAATTTTTTTCTTATTTTTTGGGTGCCCAGGGAATTTCGATATTTTTTATTAAGTGGGAAATAAATATGTGTTGAATGTCGTCAGATTGGTCTAGGCCACTCCATGTGTGGCAAGAGTGTCTTCAG